AGGGACAGTCTCATCGGAGATGGCCCCACTCCTGGCCCTATTTAGAAACCTAGGTGAGACTCCAATCCTGAACTGTAGACTGGAATGCTGGAATGCTGCCTAAAGTCTCAACCAATGAAAGTCTCTGCCCTACGCCCCCTAACCCTGAATTGTGGTTGTGTTTGTTAGAAAAAAAAAAGGATATAATTGGGATGTTAATATTTGGAAACGTTATGTCCTTTGGGTGAAACACCCCCAGTATACCTTGGTCATTGCTTTCATTTGACCCTTTCTATAACCCTTTAGTTACAGTGTGAGAAAGGCCTTGACAAAGCCCGTACATAAATAATAATGTGCTTTGCCTGCCTGGCGGCCGACTCTCAGGGCCAGGCCCCACCCATGCAACTTTTCTACCATGTGAGCACGAACTCGCCGGACTGATGACCAGGAGCCTGGTCCCGTCAGTGAAGAGGATTGGATTTAATTCCGGTATCTGGACGGTTTTTTTTTGTGGAGAGATGCAGACAGTTGCAATTGCAGTATGGGCCAAGATACAGTAAACATATTCACAACTAAGTCGCTGCAGGCTTCTTCAAGTAATCAATGCTGGCAGGCGTCTTTCTCAGTCATATTTCCTGACATTTTCCTGATTCATTCTGTGTAAGGGACGCTGGACCCGTTTTCCAGCAGGTGATACTCCCCACCAATAGATGGAGCCTCTCCCCGGGTAAAAAAAAAAAAAAAAAAAAAAAAAAAAAAAAAAAAGTTGCAGTTGATCTGCTTTTCTCCATGTCTGCTGAAAACATATCCAAATTCAGAAGTTAAATCCAATCCTTTTTGCCAATGGGACCAGGCCCTTGGTTGATGCTTACTAAGCACGAGCGTAAGGCTAGAGTAAAACCTCTTTTGCTGAGTAATGCTCTCAGAATCTCCGGGTAGGGATGAATCCAACGGCAATGACGTCCAGAGCCTCGTGAAAGACGCCCTCGTGCGAGTATGCCATGAGCTAAGGCTAGTTGGTCAATGAAGATACCTCAAGGCTGTCGCCCTTTGCACAAAAGAAAAAAAAACAGTTTTGGGGTAGGGAACTTTTTGTTTTGGGAATCTTTGTCTGGTGCCCTGTATTTTTCATTATTTTGCGTCGCACCCTTCTGACGGCCGATTTACCTTGTTGCGCCCCTGGGAGTAAAAATCTTTTCGGCAGGCCCCTCTCCGTAGTGGGCGCAACTTTCCACGCCGCCCTCCTCAAATTGCAGTCCCATTCCATTGGGCTCTGTGCCATATGCCCTCATAAAGGGCAGCCATCTTCGTGTACTGCCCCTGCAGCAGTGAGGCGCTTGAAATTTGAATTCGCGCCGCTATTTTTCTTGACGCGCCGACGCAGAGAAGCTGCTGGAGTGCAGTGGACACTCGTCTCCGGCTGCTTGCACCCCTCGTGAAGGCCAACCTGCTGTCCCGCTGCTTGGAGTTTTGTCGTCTCGTTCTTGCTCGTAGCTGTTCCTCTGCTTTGTGTTCGTGTCAGTCTCTTCCCTGCCAGTTTGTTTGTATGTGTGTGGATAGGATGAGCAAAATCGTATGAATCTACCTAGAACATGGAAATATACACTGCCACACTTGTTTGTGTGTGTGAGATACCTGTTCTCTCTCTCTCTCTCTCTCTCTCTCTCTCTCTCTCTCTCTCTCTCTCACACACACACACACACACACACACACACACACACACACACGTGTGGCCGCAGTGTACATTTCCATGTTCTAGAGGTAGATTCATTCTATTTTGCTTATCCTATGGATGGAAGTAGCATGAGGTCAGCCCCGAGGTTGGAGACTTACCTGTTCAAAAGGTCGATGGTACAGGTAGGGGCATACCAGAAATATTCCAACGGCTATCCGGTAGGGGCATGCTGCAAATTTGGTGTGGCTAGCCGTAGGGGCACTACGAAAACATACGAGGCCCAAACGACACCAGGGTTTTATGGAAAACTTTGACTTTTGGTCAGAGGGCGCGAACGGGTAAATCGGCCGTCCGAGGGGCGCGAGGCAAAATAATGGAAAATACAGGGGCGCCAGACAAGTTTTCCTTTTTCTTTTTTCTTTTTTTTTAAGTGGAAAACCTCGAAAGGTCCGAAGTGTTTTTTTCTTTTCTTTTGTGCAAAGGGCGACAGCCTTGAGGTGTCATCATTGACCAACTAGCGGTAGCCTAACTTATGGCATACTCACACGAGAGGCTCCTTTCACGAAGCCTGGACGTCAGTGCCATCAGATTCATCCTTTCCTCGCCGTAATTGCGGTCAGATGCATTCCGGCACTTGCTACCGTCTTCACCCGATTAGAACACCCGGTCATTATCGCTGCATCTGGATTGAAAGGTGGGCCAAATGCAGCTACAATGACCGGGCGTTCTATTCGGGTGAAGATGGTAGCGTGAGTATGCCCTCAGTTGGTACACACCAGCGCTCGAACTACGCTGAGAGCAGATGCCTCCTTTTGTTTTTTTTTTGTAAATTTATACAAGTTACAGTTCTGAACTACCTAACGGCCGATCGGCTATAATCATATCTCAAGGCCGTCTGCCCAAGGCTTATATTTCCAATCAGTTTTGAGGCCGGGGTCCTCACAGTCTACCTGGAACGGGAAAAAAAATAATAATAATAATAAAAAAAATTCCAGCGGCCTAGCTCAGTTGGTAAGGCACGCAAGTGGCATTCAGGAGGTTCTGGGTTCAATCCCCATTGGCCTCATGTACCTTCCTGGGCAAGCTTGGCGCCCGCCACCTAGAGACATGCAGTTGGTCCCCCCGAGTGGCATTGAGCAGAGACTGCTGATGTTCATAGGGGGAGGGGACCGGAGGGGAGGCACAGTGACTGGCCCATCGAAGAAGCTCGGTCCTGATGCTACCGGCTGACCCCTGGCCGGTATCGCCCACCTGCTGTAGCAGGTATCGCACCTGCTGGTGGGTGCAGCTCCCGCATGTTACCTCGTTGGAGGCTTGAGCACGGATGTGGCTGCTACGGGGTTCCCCGTAATACTATGGGCCTCGTTCCACTACCCTCGACTTGAAAATATCTCAAGGGCAGCGCCGTTCCACTAGGCCCTTGAGATCTGCTAATCACAATGGAAAGTGATTAAGCTTCCCGCCTGAAGAAAATCCCGCTCTGAGACTCGAGGGCGGCCGTAGGGCGCCGAGGCAACTTGGGCCAATTTTCAAGTCACCTCCCAGAGGTGACTTGAAAATTCTTGGAAAAGGCGGCAACGCGCGCCGAAAGGCAGTTCAGCCCCCTCGTCCGGTCCTTTTTTTTTTTTTTTTTGCGAACCGCGGTAGTCCTGGTCCAGCGACGGGCCTGGTGGTGAAAATATTGTAACCAACCGCACTTTTTCCCGCTCCTTGTGCGAGCAGGAACTGCAGGGTGCAGTGGAATGAAGACGCACTCTAGTATTTTTTAATTACGTTTTCGCTCAAGGGCGCCTGTAGGGCTGCCATTGAGATATTTTTCAAGTCGAGGGTAGTGGAAAGAGGCCCTATAATGACAATAAAAAAAGGCCTGAAAGGCCGTCCTGTCCAGATTTGACAGGTAATTGAATTGGTTGTGACGATATATATAGGCCGTTGCCCTTTTTTTCCTTAAAAAACAGCAGAAGAAAAAAATCATCATTGAACTGGCTGGGCCCAGGTTATTCAGAATGATTTTATTATGGTCCTCTTATTGCATCCGGGGCCAAGTCCCACTTACCCGAATTCTCAACTTCTGACCGTAGATTACGAAGATCAACGGCCAGAAATGAAGAATCAGCGTAAGTGGGACTTGTGGGACTTGTGGTGGGACTTGGTCCCAGATTCGAACTTGGCTCTGTCTTTCAACAGGTCATAGGTGTGCCAACTGAACTATACCCGTTGGCTAACTGCCTTTTTTTTTTTCGACTTTTGATCTTTTTGCATTTTCTTTTGAACCGTTCCTGAAGTTGTGCATGTTGTCCTTTCGCAGCCCCAACGGCTGTTCATAAACACACACACACACACACACACACAAACACACAGAGAGAGAGAGAGAGAGAGAGAGAGAGAGAGAGAGAGAGAGAGAATCTTTGGTTCAACGGTCTCCAGTGGGCAAGGTTTTTCCAATTGATTGCTATCTGCCTTGGCCAGTGGGCAAGGTTTTTCCAATTGATTGCTATCTGCCTTGGGCAGACGACGCAGTGAAAGTATTGTCAGTAGTAGTAGTAGCAAGGAGGGTTTGATCTAACGGATGAATCCGGTCGTGCTTGTGAAGGAAGTGCAGAAAATAGCAATGTGATCTGCTTGTCTGCATCTCTGCATATAAAACACATTCAGACCAGATTCAGGCTCTTGATCCAATCCTCTTCGCTACCGGTAGGGGACCTCCTCTTACCCTGCCGGGGTACTCCACCTTTTTTTTAATTTTTTTTTTGAAGGTACTACACCTTCCTTTACAGTTGCTGTCCTTCGGGAACGATACAGAGAGAAAGAAGATTAGCATGGCCCCTGCGCTTTCAAGGATGACACGCATAAATCGAGAAACAGTTGCTAATTATGTCTCTGCACCGGCATTTCTAGCATTTCGGATTCTGACAGTGGCAATTTCGTCCTCTCCTCTCCTCTCCTCTCCTCTCCTCTCCNCTCCTCTCCTCTCCTCTCCTCTCCTCTCCTCTCCTCTCCTCTCTTCCCGCATCGCCAACGAGTCTACATGGCAGGCCAGATATACATAAGAGCATAAATGTAAAGATATAAATAATACATTTCTATCTACAGTTATGTCGACCTCTGTACCTGTGCTATAAGTTCCAGTTGAAAAAAATGAAATAAAAAATGAAGTTCCAGTTGTGCACGGAGGGATTTTAGTGACTGCCAAGGAACTTGTGGGGGGTACCCCTCAGCAGCGCCCTCTCCTCTCCTCTCCTTGCTGCTGCTGCTGTTTTTTTTTTTTTTTTTTTTTCAAGTTGGCGTTGGTTTCTTTTTTCTACTGTCCTTCTGCATTCCGGCGCCCACCCACCTTAGCGTGTCAGGCTTGTATAAATCTATCTACATCTACATATCGACATTAGAGATCGTCTCATATATATATATACATATATATGTCTCCCTCTATATATACCGTCAAACAGAGCTGCCCGGTAAACCGTAGTAGGCTGAGAGGGAGAAGAGGGAGAAGAGGGAGAAGAGGGAGACGAGGACAACAAACAAACGAGGGAGGGGCTGTGACAAACTGTTTCGTCTGATGTATGTTCTGTATACATACATATATAAATCTCTGTCATAACGCTTATATCGCTGTTCTAAATATATATTTCCGATAAATATAATATTCTAGCCTTTCTAGGTTCGATATAGATAGATATCATCATCGTCTGAGCGCACGCGTCTCCTCAGCAAAGCAAAGCAAAGCAAAGAATGGCTGATAACTCTGGCGGCGGTGCGGCGGGGAACAACCCCGAGAGTCCTGACAGCGGTCCTCAATCTGATAATGAGCTTGGGGGCCACCAGCACCACCAGTCCGATGGGCAGAACTCGAGTGTTCGAGAGCAAGATAGGTTCTTGCCGATTGCAAACATCAGCAGGATAATGAAGAAGGCATTACCAGTGAATGCCAAGATTGCAAAGGATGCCAAAGAAACGGTTCAAGAGTGTGTTTCAGAGTTCATAAGCTTCATCACCAGCGAGTATAGATACTCAACCCTGTCACTTTTTTCTTTTTTCTGTTTTTTTTTCGTCTCTCAGTGCTCTCACCCGACCTCCTACTCCAACCTGCCTGCCATGCTTCCTCCCTTCCTCACTCCCTCCCGCCATCTCGCCCGCCATCTCGCCCGCTCCACCTCTCCACCTGTCCACCTCTCCGTCTCTCCCTCCCTCTTTCCCTCCTTCCCTCCTTCCTTCTCGTGTCTTCGCTTTATGGCGTTCCTGGACTGTATACCTTGGGCTTTGTCTTCCCAATCTATTTTCCTTCTTCCCACTCTTCTCATCCCTCCTCATCCTCTCTCTCTCTCTCTCTCTCTCTCTCTCTCTCTCTGTGTTTCTGTATGTGTGCGTGTGTCTCCCTCTCTCGCTGTCTGTGTGTGTCCGTGTCTCTCTCTCTCTCGCTGTCTGTGTGTCTGTCTGTATCTCTCTCTCTCACACTCTCTCTCTCTCTCCCTCTCCCTCTCTCCCTCTCTCTCTCACTCTCTCTCTCCTCCCCTCTCTCGCTCTGTCTGTGTGTCTCTGAATCTCTCTCTCGCTCTCTCTCGCTCACTCTCCCCCTACCTGTGTGTGTGTGTGTGTGTGTGTGTGTGTGTGTGTGTGTGTGTGTGTGTGTGTGTGTGTGTGTGTGTATCTCTCTCGTTCTCTCTCCCGTATTATCCTCTGTTTCTTCTCCATCCTTTTGTTTGTCTTCTTGTTCTTGTTCTTGTTATTCTTTCTTTCTTTCTCTTTTTCTTGTTTCTTCTTCCTCCAGGTGAAGAGATTGTGGAGGACGTGCAGAATTTTCCATGCATGTGGTGGCTGAGTTGCCTCTCGCCCGACATCCGAAATTACGAACAACGTAAAAACGAATTGAAGAGAAAAGGTGGAGCCATACCTATGTTACGCTTGTGGCAGAGAAAAATGTGAATCAGGCACCATCAATCCCCATGGAAATTAGCTGCACCTTTAGGAACAAAAGAATAGTTCCCCTCGCCTCCCCCTCTTCTCTTTCCCCTTCCCTCGCCACTGTCCTCGTGCTCCCGCTCAATTGTAACACCTGTCTCTTATACACATCTAGATGTGTGACGATTGTCACCACAGGTATGAACCTGTGTACCACCCACTCTCCGCAGGGTGCAGAAGAGGGTGTGGTTTTCAACCGCACTTGGCGGTTGTCCAACGTTGAGAGATCATTCCCTCAAGGCGCGTGTCAGCCGACAATTGAGTGTCGAATGCGACCCTCGAGATTAACGAGGACCGCATGAGTATGGGTACTGCATAGTACATCAACATTGCGACTGCTTGCGTATGCTTGCATTGCGAGTCGATAAGAGTTAGCCCTGCGTCTGCGCGGTTTTACACTAAGTCTCACGAGCGTCACCTATCTGATTTCCGTGTCGGAGAGTTATGGGTTGGCTACTAAGGGACTAGGAGTGTTGTCGCGTTGTTTGTTTTGTTTGTCCTGTATATGTATGTATATGTGTGTTTGTTTTTATTTTTATGTTCTTTAGAGTGGTGTGCGCGTGGTGTGTGGGATGCGTCCTAGTCGACCGACGATGAGTCGCACTTGGGACCTCAGCCCCCCCAAGACGTTGGTTCGCGTGCGGGTCCGATAGAGGCGTACTGCCACGCGTACCCCCTATGCTACAGCGAACGAGAAACGCCCTCGGCTGGTCCACCTCTGCGATTGCAACTAATCAGCTTTCGTACTGTGGACTGGATTCTCGGCGGGCATACACCCACCGAAGGGAGGTGACAACTCCCGTAAGGTGAAGGTAAGTCGTGCCTCGCGTAGGCCCTATCCTGTCATAGAGGCTCGCGAGAAGTATGGTTGGCCCACTCGGCCGGAGCGACTTGCGGAAGCTCCATGTATATTCACGACAAGGATTTAAACCAACTCCTGCGTGACGCGGTCGGGAGGGTCTCGCGCTGCCTTGTGCGGTGTCGGACCGATGCGCTCAACAGGTGGCGTCGTTGCCGGCGATAATGGTTGCATGCCGTTGTCCCTGGTGGAACGACATCCGGGTATGAGAAAGTGAGAATTAGGCAAAAGGAGAAGCTTTCTTTGGACGTATAAGGTCGATTGCTTGATACCTTGACTATCTTTGGGGTTGTCTTAAAACTATGGCTTTAGTGTGAAGTGTTGATTATTAGCGTATACGCGATTCACTTGAGGAAGGAAATGTTTAGCTATACGCTTAAGTACTCTGACGCATATAATAGTGGTCTCAACAAACACCTCGTTATCCTAAGTATCTTTTGATAATTGAACGATACGTGGCATGTTTGATGCGGCCTTGGTTGAGTTGAGGCAGTATCTGCATTGTTGGGTATGTCCACTACCGAAGCAAGCTCAGTTGATAACTGCCAAAAGCTACGTGGATAGTGACTCATTACGTAAGTGATATGTTAAGCCTGCTTTGGGAGGAAAAGACGTTAAGTTGATGCATCTCCCCCTTGGTCAGTAGAGTGTCGTTTTAGAGGAGGCTTCTGATACATGAGCGACGCGGATGAGGGGTTGACTGATGAGTGCGAAGTGAGGGGTTTGATTGCAAAGGTATTTCCTTGAGCCGAGACTGAGTTATGGTACGATAGGTACTGCAATAAATATTATGCATTGATATTCAAAGGTTGTCAGTTGATGATGAGATGAATCACTTAGGGGATTGTATAGATATAGCTACCGATAAAGTTTAAGAGGTAGTGGTTACTTAGCTAGCATTTTGGCTCACATGAAGAGAGACTTATGTTTTAAGTATGTGTAATATATATGTATATTTATGTTTTTTTATCACAATTGTTATCTGGTTGTTGCTATATATGCGTTTTTTTGTATTTTGTTTGGGAAGGTGATTCTTCCTCAAGGAAGTAAGTCAGCGTATATAGTTGTTCTCAATGGAAGTGCCTTTTAGAATTGTTACTCCCTCGTTGAAGCTTAAGGAAGCAGTTATCAGTCTAAAAAATAATAGTGAGACCCACGCCGGAATTATGTTCCTGGTTCATTAGTGGGGTGTTGTTAGCTTTCCTATGATAGAAGAGTAATTATATTATCTGTTGAAAGGAGAGGAAGGGGCTTGTCACCTAGCCGAAACTATAATGGCTAAGTGGAACAACGACTGCTTAGTGAGAGCGGTTCTGGAGTAGCGACCTAGGTTCGTCCCCCGTTAAGCAGGGCCACCATATTTGTGAGGGTGCGGAATCGTTGTTCGTTGCCCTGATAGGTATGAATGGGGTTGTCCATCTGACCATGATAGGGTCGATAAGGTGCAAGCGCTGGAATCAGAGAGGGTTGCGGTGAGGCTTGATCCTTAGAGCGGGGCTCAGGAGTCAAGATGTTATCTCATAAGGATTACACCGCCCCTCTGTAATATATGCTTCGCTTAAGAGTTGAAGGGGTAACAATTGTATCATGTTATTTACTCATTGCTAGTCCTATTTTTGCCTTATAAAATATGAAATATGTNGTGGTGTCATGTTCGGTATACATAACTCCACAAAAAAAGGTATGACTGTGCTGTCACCGATCCATAAGGAGGAGGTGAGGTTGAACCTGGACAGCCAGTTTGTCAGGATGCATTTGACTGACGGATAAGCACTCACCATGTTGCCCAGAGTTAGCGATACTCACCCTTGAGGGATAGAAAAAAAGAGGTCGACTTTCCTCACACCCACCCTGCAATCCTAGCAGACTGTCAGTCCAAACCCCTGACACTACTGGCAGTAAGTCTGAAAAACTGATCTGTCACAGCCATTAGAATACATAAATAAAAATAAATAAATAAATAAATAAATAAATAAATAAATAAATAAATAAATAAATAAATATAAATAAATAAGTAAATAAATAAATAAATAAATAAATAAATAAATAACCCACTGTACACATTCACTCAATCGTGGATACCCCCACTGGCATAACCGCCTGTACGATCCCGACCCTAGTGGTAGCCCCAACGATCCCCCTGAACGGGGAACGGGGTGAGCTTGGGGGAGCTTAGCAAGGCCGTTAAGTGTTTTGTGCTGTTATGTTCGCTATACACAACGCCACAAAAGAAGCATGACTGTGATTCTGGCTGGTCTTTATTTCATGACCTTGGTTCCCGTTCAGGGCCAGCGACAAATGCCAGCGTGAGAAAAGGAAAACCATTAATGGAGATGATCTTTTATGGGCCATGAGCACGCTTGGATTTGAAGACTACGTTGACCCGCTGAAGGTCTATCTCCAGAAGTACCGAGAGGTGTGGTTTCGCCCCTCCTCCCCCTGCTGCTGCTGCTGCTTGTTTTTTTTCTTCCCTTTCTTTCTGTCTTTTTCTCTCTTCCTTCCTTCCCTCCTTCCTTTCTTCTTTTCTTCCTTTCTTCCTTTCTTTTTTCTTTTTTTGCTCTCCTATCTTCCTCTCTTTTGTCTTTTTTCTCTTGTCTTTCTTCTTTTTCCTTCCTTCTTTTTTCTTCTTTCTTCGTCTTTCTCCTTCCTTCTTCCTTCCTCCCTCTTCTTCCTTCCTCCTCCTTCTTTCTCCTTTCTTTCTTCCTTCTCCTTCGTTCTTCTTCCTTCTTCTTCCTTCTCCTTCGTTCTTCTTCCTTCTCCTTCGTTCTTCTTCCTTCTTCTTCCTTCTTCTTCCTTCTTCTTCCTTCTTCCTCCTCCTCCTCCTCCTCCTCCTCCTCCTCCTCCCAAGAGCGTCGCTTGTTAAGGGCGGAATTATCTTTCGTGTTATGATGAAGAGGGACTCATTCCATTCTCTTATTCACTTTGTTTGTGACCTGTTTTCAGTAAGTAAGCTCTGGAGAGAAGAGAGAAAGTAACCGGACTTTGAATCAACAAGCCTCTTCATTTCCTTCTGATGATGCAAAGAGTGTTTGTTTGTCATTATAGAGCTTCCTGAGACTGTGTACGTCTTGAGTTGCTTGTCTTTGTCTGGTTGTTTGTTTGCTTACTTAAGACGTACACAGTCTAAGAATGCTTGTTTGTTTGTCATTATACAGCAGACCGCGCTTCATCTGTTTGGAAGCATCACCCTTGGTCTTCCCAAATTCAGTATGTTGCAAAAATGCATACCTTCGCTCTGGAGTCTTTGGACAGAGATCTGCTCTCTGCAGAAAGGTCACTGAGTGCTCACCTGTGCTGTTGTTCAGGGGTAAGAAAGAATCCGTAAGAGACAGGATCATTCTTTGGCTTTCTGTGTGTCGTTTTATACAGGGCGAGGAGAAGAGAGAAAGAGAGGCCGGGGGATGAGCAACGGAACCGCAGCACCCCAGAATAGATGGGGCACGAGTGGTGTGCACGTTAAAAAAAAAAAGAAAAAAAAAAGGGAAAAACAAAGAAAAGGAAGTAAAGAAAAGGGTTGGGTGGGTGCCTCTGAAACACAGACAAAGAGACAACGTCATTGTTTTTTTTTTTTTTTTTTTTTAATATATTTTTTTCCCCTTTTCTTTTTCCTTTTTTTTGCTCTCCGTTTTGATTCTTGAAGGGGAGAAAAGTGAGGAAGCCGGGTGAATCTAACAAGTTGTTCTGGGTTCGGTTGCGTTGGGTTTCCTTCTGTTTTAAAATGTTTTTGGCCTTTACTAGCCTTTTTTTTTTTTTTTTTCCTTAGCTCTATATTAGATTATTATGCTATTGTACTATATTAGTTAGTCTATGTAGTATATAGTATATACCAATTGACGGTGGGAAGGGGAATCAGAATTAGGTGGTTGGCAGGAGCTCTTGTCCCTATCTCTGCCCCCTTGATTCTCCTTTTCACTTTCTGTTTTCTCTCTACAGCTTTTTCTGATAATCTGAACTTCCATCGTCTGACCTATCTTTGTCCTTTTGTCTTATTCTTGTGCTTTTGTGCTATATTCCCGATTTTCTTCTGGAATTTTGGCAGACCGAGGTAAGGAATCTGTCTTCTCGGAGGAAACCTGTTCGTTATTATTATGTTACCTTCATTATGCTGCGTATGATGAATGGGTGGTCCATCTCTTGATCTCTCCCTCTCTCCCTCTCTCCCTCTCTCCCTCTCTCCCTCCTCTCCCTCTCTCCGGCCTCTCCCTCTCTCCGGCCTCTCCCTCTCTCCCTCGCTCCGTATGCACTGTGCATGATTGGGGTTCGCTGCTTGGCATCTGACGGCCCTGATTGTACAGTCAATTCTCAATCGATGACATTTTTTCAGAAAATCCAGAATGACTGTTTTCAGATTATCTTTAGTTTGCAGTAACTGTTTACCGGGGCTGCAGTAACTGTTTACCGGGGCTGCAGCAACTGTTTACCGGGGCTGCAGTAACTGTTAACCGTGAATTGGCTTACGATAAGGTGTGTCGGCGGTTGGAATGGTTGGCGAATTGTCAAGCAAAGAGTGACAGAAGATTTTTTTTTTTTTTGCCCTCTGTGTGTTTTTAACACTGCAAGGAAAAATGAGCAATAGCGAAATGGCAGAATTGTCAACTTTCTCGGCCGTTTGGCTCAGATAAAGTGTAGTATCTGTTCTTATTATCAGTTTAATATCTGAACTGTGGTCCATCGGACCACACGATATTAAAATAATTTTTCTGGGCTATGGAGGGGTCGTACGGGTAGGCTTGCCTACTCGACCCGTCCAGCGTTGCCTTCGTATTGCACTGCAGCGAAGCGTGGCGCGGCCCATGAAAAAAAAAAAAAAAAAAAAAAAAAGAATTCCAGATTGCAATATCGCACTGAAAGCCAGATGGTCGAAAGCTGTCCAGAAAGGAGAAATGCACACTGATGTCACACCGAAGGAGAACCAAAGCAGCAAACTCAATTGTCAATGAAAGCACACTCTCGCCACCACCAACAATGTAATTGAAGCTCTTCCTCCTCCTACTGGCTCTCAGCGCCCAGACTACGATCCTACAGCTACTACGCTAGCCTCTACTTAAATGACAAAGCAACCAGTTGACGTCAGCAGCTCCTCCCTCCAGCGCCCGTGTGCGGCCGGGCTTACCCGCCTGTGGCCTGTTAGCGCTCCTATGGGCAGCGCTGCCGCATACTCACCAAGTGCCTGAATGCCCCGGCCGCTGCCTGGCTCTATCCTAAATGGAAAGCGGCCAGGCCCGACAGCTGCCTGGGCCGGCCCAGGGGTGTGCCCAGTAGCTTCTGGTTGGGCCAAAGTGTCTGCGCCCAGGCTCATTCCGACAGTGGCCTGGGACCGAACAGGTTAGGTCTGCCCAACCACCCAGGCTCAAACGTGAGGCGTTCCCTGCTTCCACTGCGTTGCCGCCAGAAGAGCTTGGAAGGCTCTCGAATGTTTCTGAATTTCACGAGCAGGACGGATGTAACCAACTGGCGCGTGGCAACTGTCTGCCGCCCACCAAGACTTTGCAAAATTGACAAAGTCAGGCCTCATTGAGATTCGGGGGCCCGCCTTCACTTAGGGGGGGCACATGCTGGCGGTAGGGGCCACATGCAGGTATGCCGAGGGCTTGAAATCCCCGCAACGCTGTCCCTGCCACTGATGTCTGCTTTGCAGTCTGTTTTTCAAACCGCCACTTCCCCTCGTGATGCATGCTCATCTGAAGATGAGCAGTGCACATGTCCAAGGAGCGCCAGTGTGATGAACAGGACTGAAAACAAACGATATAATGCAATGTAGCGCAGCGGAAGACTCAAAGATATGACCTGACACACCAGATCCAGACTCGACTCACACAATCATCATCACACATGTCACTCAGCAAAGCCTTAGGAGGGAAATCATACACGGAAGAAGGGTCCCTCCTTGCGCACACACATGGGGAAGAAACCGCGGATGATGAAGGGGTGAGGAGAGATGAAGATGGAGAGGGGAGAGAAGACAAAAGAGTAGAACTCGTAGGCATCCAAGAAAGTCTCCCTGTCAAACGTCCAACCAATGTCTGCCCTCAAAAATGCCGAATCAGATCCAGGGCGCACATAGGCCCGAAATAGTCACTGCCTGAAATCTCTCTCCCTCTCTCTCCCCCTGAAATAGAAGGCGAAAAAGAGGAAGGAGGATAAGAAGAAGAAGAATAGTGGCTATGGAGGAGCGGAGAAGAATTAGGAGAAGGAGAAGAAGAAGGAGAACTCTCCTCTCTCGCGTGATTCTGGAGAAATTGGCTGGGAATTGAAAATTTTGAACTTTTCAACTTTTGGAGTGTAGATGCAGACTAATAATAGGAATTGAAGTTTCAAAGTTGAAACCGAGACTACTATGCAATGACCATGACCATAAGTTTGTGTGTGTGTGTGAGTGCGAGTGTGTGTGCGTGTGAGTGTGTGTGTGTGTGTGTGTGTGTGTGTGAGAGAGAGAGAGAGAGAGAGAGAGAGAGAGAGAGAGAGAGAGAGAGAGAGAGAGAGAGAGAGTTTTCGAACGAGTTATAATGAGATGAAGAAGTGAGCATAGAGGTTGCAGTAAAGAATGCCATTTTTTAAGGTAAAAAAAATATTCCACGCGGCCTTCAGGGATCAGTTCATAAGCAAACAGGGGTTGGAGGAAGGGCAATGGAGTAGGAGAAATACTGGCTATGTTTAACTCTCATTTTGCCACTGCCGGTTGGTGGAGTCGGGTGCTAATCTGTGCACGCTTCGTGTTAGGGGGAGAAGGCCTCATTAGCAAAGCAAGGGACTTCAGAGGCTGCTGGGAAGAAGGATGGAGTTTCTTTAAGCATGCAACCGGGGATGCAGGTACGTCGGTCAGCGCCACACACCACCATCGGATCCCAACCCCATTTTGGGTCGGTCGGTTGCAGCTGCCCTTGCCCTGTGCTGTCGATGTGACAAACTCAGGGCAAATTCACACTAGGACTTCTTTTTTATTTATTATCTATGGATGTACTTGCAGTCCGATACATCAGGTCCGGCTGGTAAATGCGGTCAGATTGACTCAGATAGATATAAGATTGATATAGTCTGAGTACGCCCTCAGAAACCCTCGGTTCTTCTTTTTCCCTTATCTATTGCCACTGCTATGACTCAATAGACATCCAGATGTTCTCTGCATAGATGGCAGATGAGTTGCCATTCCTACCTATCTGTTTGGCACCTTTTGCTATTCCTACCTATCTGTTTGGCACCTTTTGCTATTCCTACCTATCTGTTCGGCCCCTTTTGCGTTGAATGCTTTCTGTTTCACACAAAGGAAGCATCAACTCATCTGCTTCTCATTTGCTTTTTCTTCGATGAGTTGCTATTCCTACCTATCTGTTTGGCCCCTTTTGCTATTCCTACCTATCTGTTCAGCCCCTTTCGCATTGAATGCTTTCTGTTTCACACAAAGGAAGCATCAACTCATCTGCTTCTCAT